TCATCAAAAGTTAAAAATATCACTTTTAAGACGTATGTAGATGCTTTTCTTTGTTGATGGATGAACAAACTCACCGCCCACTGACACAACTGATATAAAGGTCACCAGAGCACATGGATATTAACGTGACTGCCAGCGCCCACCTTGAGACATGTCATGTCATTGAAAACAAATTTAAAACTAGGCATTTGCTTTCATTAAGTCTTCCAGTAGTACAATAATTGTAACAAGGTAATTTCACTGCACCGCCAATTATTAAGCTGTAGAGCTGTTTTCTCGAAACAGTAACATTAATGACGACAATTAATTAACGAGTAAATAAAGAATAATTTTAATTTTCTCGATCCATCGATCGGGTATCCGTAAAAAAATTTCGCGGCGATCATTTAGAAAAAAAAACTTTGGTCTATCGGTGTCTTTTCTTTGAGTATATTTCAGTAATTACTATTCTCTCTCCACCTCAATGTCAAAATTGAATTAAGTTTTCATATTGCTGATTTATCGATCTCAACTTATCAAATTTACATAATATGGTTTAATTGTAAAATTACGGTTTATCAAATTTACATATGGTTTAAATTACGAATGCATTTTTTAAATTATAATCTCCACTAGAAAACTATGACAATCAAATCACAGAGACATTCGGGTGCTATGTGATGTCAAGATTTTTGCTGACCACATTGCTATCTCTACTCTCTGCGGAATACAATACTATTTTCCCCATTGCATTGTATTGGAATTCCAACCACGAGACTACCTAGAGAATTCCATTTCAATCGAAACGCCATTGTGAAATCTGATAAAACTAAATTTTCTGTTGTATATTGCCTGTCAGTGGAAAATCTTTAACCAGGTTCAGTTCATTTTTGTAACATTCATATGAAAATATGTAGGATTAACCTTAATTAATTTATTTTTAATCATATTAGATTAACCTAATATCGTTTTAATATACTTAGCAAACTAAACAACATAAAGCATTCTTTCCAAATATTAACGTACATAACTGAGACAGCAATCCGTAAATTGTTTGAAACATTATCCATAATTTTCATTTTGAATTCAGCTCAAGGCATTATTAGATCACAAATAAACCGAAGAATATTAACTATACAAATTAATTATCTATTTTGTACATTATTTTAGAGTCGGTACAGTACAGTATAAGTCAGAAGCCAGCGAACTAGCGAGTCAAAGTTTGAATTAACAAGTTCCTCGATGTTGCCTTGTATATCGTGTCTACAAATTCGATACTAATTAATGAACACCCACGTGAACAGCTAAAGTTTTATTATTAAATTATAATACACCGGCGCTAACGGATACTGAAGTTCTTTGAGATCCTGCACACAGAGATTCCGTATCAAAGCTTGCTTTCAAAGAAAAAGTTATCTTACGCGTGGTTATTACCGGAGTTCCTTGTCCGGAGTATGATATTATAATTTTAATATGAATTTATAAACGTTTATTTCATCTGAATCTTATAAATGTTCATATTTAAACTTAATAAAAATATTTTAAAGAAGTCGGAACCATACAAATTGTTCGCAGAAAATGTAATTAATATTTTCGAGTAAATTAACTGGACTATTTTAGTTTTAACGTGAACACGACGTTTTGATTTGTGAATAATTAATGTATGTATGTAATAATACGACTACACTTAATTATTGTTAAATAAAATGGCTCTAATTTAAAAATCAGTCAATACTGTTTTTGACATATTTGTTTATTTCCAGAATAATACTGAAATAATAGCTATTTTTTTTTGTTGCCAAAGCTGCCAAAGTGTGACACTGCAGTTTCTTAATATCCATTTTAATTTATTATATATGTCCTCGTGTTTAAATAATAGTCGTACTACAAAATTCCGTTTTCAAAATTCAGTACTGTGGAATGTCAAACGATTGCAAAAACAATTTGTGTCGTCGTTGTGCATCCCTTTGTTTTATACTCTGTTTCAGACAACCATTATCGTTTGTTTAAATGCACAGCATATTAGTATTCCTGTCAGCGTAGCCTTCCAATATATATATCTGGCTTTGTATTTTGATTGTTTTCAGGCTTTGTAATACAGTCAGAGTTTTGAGAGAATTCTATATTATTATTTTTATGGTCAACTTTTAATATTTATTACACGCGAAGAAGCTTTAAATAATTTTCAACTTTCATGAAACGTTTTACTTGATGCTCGAACGACGTATCTGCATTTCTACGCAAATTGACGAATGCAGTTGCAGTTTTTAATCTGTTCCCCGATACGTAATAACTCCATCTGGTATGTGATCACACTTTCGGAAATGCCGTCAGTGTCGGGGTATTGCAAAACATGCGGCGACGAGTTTTTTTTATTGCATTATGGGTGGACGAACTCACAGCCTACCTAGTGTGAAATGGCTAACGGAGCCCATAGATATCTATAACGTAAATGCCGCCACCCACCTTGAGATATCGTATGTTTCATGAGGAGTGCTCTGAGGAATTGTTTGAGATGATACTATCATCTCGTTTTTACCATCGCACCGGCCGCCACCGGAGTAGAATTAATCCATACTACTTGGAGCTGCTGCGTTCATCCACAGTGCGTTTCCAGAGATCTTTTTTGCTACGTACCATCCGGCTATGGAATGAGCTCCCCTCCACGGTGTTTCCCGAGCGCTATGACATGTCCTTCTTCAAACAAGGCTTGTGGGGAGTATTAAGGGGTAGGCAGTGGCTTGGCTCTGCCCCTGGCATTGCCGATGTCCATGAGCGACGGTAACCACTTACCATCATGTGGGTAAGTGCTCGCCTGCCTGCTCAGGCAAAAAAAAAAGACTTCTAAGGTCTCAATATAGTGACAATGGCTGCCCCACCCGTCAAACCAAAACGCATTACTGCTTTACGGCAGCAATAGGCAGGGTAGTGGTACCTACCCATGCGGACTCACAAGAGGTCCTACCACCAGTAATTACTTTTGCGGGTATGGGTATTTTTTAATCAAATCAATTTTTGATTGAAATTTCTGCCTACCTGTTCGAATATTTCGCCGTCCAGTAATATCGGTGTTTATACGTCCGAATTAATGGACGTGTAGCCTCCGACAGCCGTACTACACCTACGTGACGCTCCGAACCGAGAAATTGGGAAATTGAAATGCTCGACTAATTCTGCAACCCATCCTGTGTCCTGATGTACATTAATTTTCTAATAGACGCGTCGACGGTACGATGCTTTCGATTATTGTTTCGAAACAACCAATTTAAATGTTTCAAACGTTCCAGCATTTTGATTACTTGAACAATTATAATCGGTAGCGAATATTGTAATTTAAATATTATTGGCCTTGAATTTAAACATTATTTTTTATAATTTAATGTTATTAAATTTTATTTTAAGAACATAATTTAATAAAAAAATTATCAAGAGAATGGAATAAAAAAATTCGCAGTACCGAGCCCACCTAGTGGCATAAAGAAGAAGAAATATCATTGGCCTACAAAAATTCTAAAAATTAACTTTGACATCGAACTTTAACAATCACATTTTGATGACATGTTCGAAGCAATCTGTAAGAAATAAAGTATGTTTTCAGTTACAACTCCTGTCGATAAAATAAACACCCTGTAATGAATTTGAACTACCAAATTGGCTACGTCCTCTTTTGTTATGGGCAGACAAAGAGTTCAACTTAGGTAGCCTACCAAAACTGTAGTCTGGGGCGATACGAGGGTCCATTCAACGAGCCTATGTCAGTGACCTCTAATACGCGCTATTCAATTCACACGATCAAAAGCTAATTAATTAGTAAAAGCAAACACAGCCAAATAAGAGTGTATGAGTGTGATGAGTTTTGTGTGAGCGAAAACATGGTGAATGATGTCCCACAACGTGTTGCATACAAACACTTATTATACTATTTCGTGATTCATAGACATAATTAAAACTACTCATACTATTCCTATGTGCAATGAAACGCAAAAGTTTAGAATAGAATAGAAAAATAGACGGTAGTTAATACAGCATTGAAATGTCGAAGAACAACATTTTAGTCGTCCGTGAGCACGAAAACTAGCACCCTTTAGCACAAGGCGTATTTTAGACGCGCAAACTTTTTTTTTCCTACCTAAGCTGAGAGCCTTGAGAGGCTATTTCAGCGTAACCTTAAGTAGGTAAGCTCACGGGGCTCAAACCTGACGACGTTGCTAACACGAACCCTAGCAAGAGATGTGCTTCGCAGAATCTACCGCCGGATCGGAAAGGCGACCCACTGAGAAGATCCGGCGTGAAACTGAGTGGGCTGTGTCTGAGGGTGAATTTACTCGTCGAGCCCTTCATCGCAAGCGACGGGTTCTACGAGAACGATGACCGGTGCTTGAAGTACCTAAAAGCACCCTTAGTGGATCGGGGAGATCCGAAATGACGTGTTTTAGGGCGACGTCGACTGCTTTCCATTCTGTCTGCAGGATCGGGAATGTCGTTACCAGTGGCCACGATCAGAGGGTTCTCGTGTCGTGCCGCTTTATCGAAGTAGATGCGCAGACGACGCGTGTTTCAGAAACGCGCGTCTTCTGCGCCGTAGACGCAGATTTTTGCCATACAAGCGCGTGAAAAGGGGTGAAAAGGGGCGCTCGCTAAGATCATCGCACCGGCTCAATTGTACAACTGAACTGATCTGATAAAAACGTAGAAGCTACGAGCGACTACAACGCATCTATCTGAGAGCTGTAGAGGCGCAGTAGCGTAGTAGACGCACGCTTCACGATCACCGCGTGTGCTTAGGGTTACAAGGTTCGTTCGAACCTCGTTTGAAGAGCGTATACGCGCGTCATCTGCGCGTCGACTGCGCGCTTAAAATACGCCGTGTGCTATGTGCCTAAAATATTCGAAATGTCGGAAATGACGTAATAACAGTAAAAAACACGATATTAAACCGTAAAAGTAGTTTTAGTTATGTTTTTGATACTCCATTGTCAAACAACACAAAGTAATGCTATCTTATGTATTTATATTTTTACCTGTGTGTGCGGCATGTTCTGTTGGACTGTAGCAGGGCGGCGCGACGCATGCTTCAGTGGGGCTACGGGGCGGAGGCCCGGCGTGCCGCTGGGTGCCTTTCTTCACCATGTAGCACCGCGGCATCGCGGCCCACGCTGCGTAAATAATAATAGTTACATTTAAAAAACAAACTATTCTCAAAAACTATCAACTTAATTATCTCGTCAATTATGTATTTGTTATACGAACATTGCATTGCAAAATTATGTTTGATTTCTGAACGTCAAAGTGTCAGCGAGCGACGTCCGCCATGACACTATTTCTCTTTCAAATCCATACGCCAAGAGCGACGCATCGATTTTAAATATTTGTTTTATATTTAGTTTTTAATTTGTCATTTAAGGACAACATCTCAAAAACAATAAATATAGTCCACGCTCATTTACTACAACGCAACATAATTGACTTATATATTTTTATTAATTACTTTTTTACTTTTTATTTTATTTACTTATTTAATAAAATTTATATCATTATCATTAAAATTTATAACATGATATATTTTAATAAACGTTGCTTTTTGTTATTGTAATAAGAGTGTTAATTAGAAAAGGCACAGCACATCCCGGTCAGAAGAAAATCGCATTCTAAAAATGTTTCATTATTTTAATAGAACGAGGAACAATTTATCTGGCCATACATTAAAACATGCTAATATGCGACCTCAATCGCATTGAATGTTGTCGAAGTATTCTTTCATCTTATCCACCTAACAACAGGACGAAAGAACATTGTAAGCTCGTACTTGCTAGTACTGTTCACGACCTTACCTTACACCAAGGTATCAAACAGTATGCTTTAGGTGTAACTTTATAACTGACGAAATGGTGGCTGTGCTACAGTATTAACATTCTTTCATAACAATCAGAGCTTCAATCTGATATCGTAACTTGAGTAACTTTAAAGCCTTTATAAAACATACAAAGATACAATACTTTATAAAATCGAATCGAGGTAAAACTAACAATTTAAGCGAAACAAAAAAAAATACTTAAATTTTTACTGGTGGTAGCACCACTTGTGAGTCCGCACGGGTAGGTACCACCGCCCCGCCTATTTCTGCCGTGAAGCAGTAATGCGTTTCGGTTTGAAGGGTGGGGCAGCCGTTGTAACTATACTGAGACCTTAGAACTTATATCTCAAGTTGTGTGGCGCATTTACGTTGTAGATGTCTATGGGCTCCAGTAACCACTTAACACCAGGTGGGCTGTGAGCTCGTCCACAGATCTAAGCAATAAAAAAATTAAAAAAATAAAAAACATTATTTCTTTTTCGAAATAGTCGAAAAAATAAATAGGATTGGTTTTGAACTATGTATATTTGACGTGGAATCAGAGCCTCGAAATGTAAACACGTCAGATACGACGCACTTCATACCTTTTAAAACTGTACAAAGCCGTTTCGAACTGCGGAACGTGAGTTTTCCGAACATTTTCATTTCATAAGATAAATAAACGACTTGTTTTTGCTTTCACGCGATTCAAGTACCGAAACTTTTTTGATATTAAATTTAATCGAGATGTTTACTCTCATTTTATAAAATACTAGCGAGCGTCTTTTAGACCTGCAACTTTTTAATGAAAACTATGACGAAGTTTTACATCAAATTAAATAATTAATTAATTAATTTTTCAGCGACCTCGGTAAGAAAATATGAAAAACATAATAATTTATTCTTGAACCTGATAAAATGATGATGATTGAAATGATATTTTGGTTTTTTTACTATCAGATTTCGAATAAAAGCGAAAGAAAAGAAAAAATAATAAAAGAAAGATTTATATAGATAGTACTTCATTCTTGATCGACACCAAAATAACGTTTTGCTATTTTGCGGTGACTGGAATCGACACATAAATCACAGAGTGAAATCACAGTTGCGATTCAGTATGTAGATGATAAAAATTTTTCCAAAAATATACTTTATAACATATATTTTCCAAAAAACGAATTAGAAATTTTTCAACTCTAGTAGCAGCTGCAAAATAAATATAAGAATTCATGCTATGCAATTTGGAATCCGTTTTATCACAAAGCTATACACAATAAAAATCACAAACTGCAATATTTTAATCGCTTGAGAATTATCCGGTATCATGATACTGATACCCTGAAGAAAATAATTGCGAAAATTGTGAAAATAAAACGAAGCTTCAAAAAATAAATCCGTAGTAGCAAAATTCAGTTAAGAAAATCTCGTTTGATATGCTTTTAAACCATCATGAATAACAACAAAGGTCTGGTGTCGTAAAAGCAAATACTGATATATTAGACAGGCCTATAATTTATGTAATATTTCGGTGATATCTTGAAACGTTCTTTTTTTATAAAATATATTCCAACTTATTCTGGCTTCGCTTTTGTATCTACTATAATATGCATGGCGTACTATTCTACTTAATCGGAGTAAAGATATCACATTGTTCTAAGCTTTATAAGCCCTATTAGGTAGAGTGTCCCCGTAATCATGGCGCTTACAACAGCTTCAAAACAGAGAATTCATGTTAAAGTCGTGATAAGAACACGTTCAATCTTCTCCCTGGTCGTATCACTCTTATCAGAACAGTCGTGGTCGTCATTCAGTATCATTTCAGATGCTATAAGCCTCACGAGTAATCGCCACTTCTCCCTGTTTATGGTGAGACTGGTACACTCATGTAACGATAAAATATTCAATAGTAGTGTTTATAATGAAAAACATCACCATCTGATCTGATCTGCTCAATTATATACATGACTAGCTGACCCGGCAGACTTCGTAGTGCCTCAATCGATAAACAAAATACCTAAGCTTTTGTATAAAATAAACTTAAAAGAAATAAAATGAATCTGTCCGACGGGAACACATCAGAGGAAAAATATAATAGAATTGCTATTTTTATTTAATTCCGAGCATTTTCATATTTATCTACCTTTTAAACCTTCTCTGGACTTCCACAAATAATTCAAGACTAAAATTAGCCAAATCAGTCCAGCCGTTCTCGAGTTTTAACGAGACTAACGAACAGCAATTTATTTTTATATTTAGAGATAAGTAATATCGACCTATTTTGGTCATGCAAACTTACGCTCGTGTTAGTCGAAGCGTAGCGGGTCCACTGGGCTCTCGTCTGTCGAAAGAACAGACCCTCAAACCACGCTTGGACTGATACACGGATTTGTGTAACGAGATATACGGTAAACCAATGCACTACTCGGGTATTGAGTGACATGTATTAGGCAGATTGCCTGCCTTGCTTACCGCTGTGCACTCTGAAAGGCCGAGAGCTATCTGTTACCTACCTTTCATTGAATTGAACTAGTCGGAAGGCTGGTTTCCGTTTGTACACTGTATCTGCTAGTGTACGTGACGTAAATGACAAATGATATGCCTACGATGTATCTAGTATATGCTAGTAAACATAAAGACAGTTTTAGTGGTCTCAGGTATACTGGTATATACAGTTTACATTAATATATTCCTGTTGCAATTACACAAAACGATCTTGTTATAACAATGTCTTGTATACATGTTTGTATCTGCAAATCTTTTTAAAATTTGTTACAGTAATACGCCATAAATTGCACTTTTACGATGATTTTACTTGGACATTCGATAGTTCAGAATAATTTTTTGTTCCGATTCTATTGAAATACATAATTGTGTTCTGTTAAATAAAAAAGTATGTAAAGAAAGGTATTTATGTTCTGCATTAAAAAAAATGGTAGCAAATTATTATTAACTTCTATAAGCAGATTACAGATGACTTTATGCCAAATATTCTTTGTATTTGTTAATTTACTACGGACTAAATTCAATAACCTAACTTTTTGTAGTAAGCCTTTAATATTTGATTTCACGCTGCTTTCATCAAACGCGCGCTAAAATCACATACAAACTTTAAATACCTGCCTAATACAATACTAAACCCATAAGGGGTAACAACTAATCAAAAGCAGGCTTACTTTGAAAATGACATGCAAATGGCCATCGCTTATTTTATTCTTATAGGCATCAAATTTCCTTCCTTAGTGGATGCTGACAACATTAAAAGTATGAACTGCCAAAATTTTATGTTTGCAGTTAACGCGGCTTAGGCTCGATGTTGATGAATCAATCAGTCAGTCAAGACAAGCAATTATGTATGTATAGATTGGGATACATTTAGACACTCCAACAGTCTCGTGCTATAGTGTTGTGGTGTGATATTAGTGTGATAATAATGTAAAATATCCATAAATACCAGGCAAAAATGATTACACCCAGATTATGAATTCAAAGACGTAAGGTATAGAAAGCTCTAGACCAATTAAACGATCAATATTTGATTTGAATATATGTTTATTAATTGGTTATTGTTAATGTCAAAAATAAAGTTAGCGGTAGAAGTCACATAGAGCGTTAGGTATTCTCTAGAAGATAAAGGGAACAGTTAGCATATATAAAACAAATCAATGGTTATTGATACATTCAGTTTAATATGGCATTTCGTTGTAATCAACCATCCAATGTGTCGCTAGCACGCAGTGATTTGAATGTACGACATCGTGGAAAGGATTACGATTTGCAGTTGTTTTATTATACGAAAGTTTATGAAGCCAATAAAGTCGTCGAGCGTATGCGGATCGACACTGAAAACTGAGCAAGTGCATCAGGAAAAGCGCTCTGGGGGTTCCGTAGAAAAAGTAAATTTAGAGTTCTAACAATTTCTTAACACTTTATTGAAGAAGGCTTTGACAGGCGATTTTTTAACGCCATGATTTTGCCATTCGGATCCGGAAAGCAACGAATATAAGAGGACTCGAAAAAAAAACGTATGCCTTGCTTTTGTCTAATTTACACCGTAAAACACTAAATTTAGCTCAGTGAAATTTTGCTTTCAACAATCAAAATGTTCACTTAATTTATTTTGAGCATGCTCTCGAGTAAAGGGAAATTCTGAAATATCAATATCAAACCTGTGACTTTAAACTGTGTTTCTCTCATTTAATTTGAAGCTATGACTTAAGTTTACCAAGACTTAGAGTTACAAGAAACTAAAAGGTATTAGTGATTCCCGTCACGACAGAATCGTTCGTCTTTTCTACGAAGACAATCAGCAAAAAACGCACAGAG